ACGTCTCCTTCGGCACGAAAGCGCAACATTTTTTCCACAATTACTCAGTCAGATAATGTCAAACACGTCGAAGAAGTATGTTGGTATCACCGCCAATACGGTGGAAGAGCTAGGCGTTGTCGGGCTCCCTGCACCAGGCACGACCCAGCTGCTTCAGGGAAATCGAATAGCCAGCATACTAGCACGACCAACGTATCCGTCAAAAACCAAGCAAACCGACTGTTTTACTTTCTGGATCGATTTTCCTCCATCACATTCCTCGTCGATACTGGAGCGGAAGTCAGTGTCATCCCAGCGACCGTCAACGACAAGCACTCAGAGCTTACGTACGATCTGCGTACGGCCAACGGTTCTCCCATAGCCTTATTCGGTCAGCGCATGATGAACCTGGACTTCAATCTTCGCCGCTGTTTTATGTGGGTCTTCACGGTTGCGTCTGTACCCTTCGCTATTATGGGTATCGACTTCCCCCGTCATTTTGGGTTGCTTGTTGATGCTGGTCGCCACAGACTTTTAGCCGACTGTACTAACCTAGGTGTTGAAGGCGTTTTTACGGACGCCCCGAAAACCAGTCCCGTTTTTCGGATCGCCGATATACCCTCAGGTTATGCGAACCTACTCTCTGAGTACCCGCGACTGGTACGACCGGCTGTAGAGCTTCCACCAGTCACGAGAGAGGTCGACCACCACATATTTACGCACGGTCAACCAGTTAGCGCAAGACCAAGACGGCTTGCTCCAGACAAACTACAGGCAGCACGAGCCGAATTTGACCACATGCTTCAACTTGGTATCGTCAGACCGTCTAACAACCCAAGGGCGTCGCCTCTGCACATGGTCCCGAAGAAGTTCCTGGGGGACTGGTTTCCTTGCGGCGACCATCGATCCTTGAATACGGTTATTACGCCCGGTCGCTATCCTATCCCACACATATTGGATCTCACCGCCAGTCTGGCAGGTAAAAGTATTTTCAGAAAAATCGACTTAGTACGCACATACAACCGAATTCCGGTAGCCGAAGCGGACATCGCTAAAACTGCTCTTTTGGTTTGTTCGAGTTTCTGCGCATGCCATTTGGCCTACGAACGCCGCGCAAACTTTTCAGCTTTTCATTAACCAAGTTTGTCGGGTTTAAACTTCGCTTACGCGTATCTCGATGACAGTTTAATAGCAAGCCCTTAACGAGAAGAGCACATGGGCCCCGTACGAACACTTTTTGTTGGTTCATCTCAAGACGGGGTGACGATTAAGGCAGAAAAGTGTTCCTTTGTAGTCGATTCAGTCAATTTCCTCGGCCATCGTATCTCCGCTGCAGGCGTCGTGCCACTGCAGGATAAAATTCAAGCCATCATCGACTATCCCGAGCCTCATCCTTCCAAACAGCTCAGGCATTTTGATGGCCTTGTCAAATTTTACCGACGAGTTATACCCAATTGCGCCTCGCTGATGCAACCCCTCACGGACCTGCTCCGAGGGAACTCAAGGGGTTCGAATTTTATGCCGCAGCACGCGCTGCTTTTAAGTCGCTGAAAGAGGCTATCGCCAACATAGCTTCTATAGCGCATCACGACCCGGCCGCCACGCTGTCCCTCAGTACTGACGCCTCGGACGTGGCAGTCAACGCTGTTTTGCAGCAACGCGTAGCCGACACGTGGCAACCCTTAGCCTTTTTCTCCAAACGCCTACAACCTAAATAATCTCGCTACAGCACGTACGGTAGAGAACTACTAGCCGTATACCTAGCGAAACATCACTTTCGGCACGTCCTAGAAGGCCACCCCTTTGTCGTCTTCACCGACCACAAACCTCTGACACGTGCTCGGCTCGACTACCGACCGATACTCACCTAGAGAGTCGCGCCACCTTGGCTATATCGCTCAGTTTACGCCCGAAATACAGCATGTCTCAGGTGTGCACAACGCCGTCGCCGATGCAGTTTCCCGCATCCAAGCTATCTCCGCTGACGCCGGCACTGCTATCGACTTGGCAGCCATGGCCACAGCACAACTCAACGGTCCTGAGGTTGATCTACTACGCAGGTCTCCCTCATTGGACATAAAACCCGTTCCGCTGACATCATCAGACGGAACTATACTCTGCGATTTATCTCTGGGCACGCCGCGCCCAGTCGTCCCACGCGAGTTTCGGCAGACCGTGTACGACACGTTGCACAGCTTGTCTCATCCAGGCGTTCGTGCATCGGTTAAGCTCGTAACCGCACGATTCGTTTGGCGCAATGTTAATCGGGACGTCCGAACTTCGGCAGCTGCTTGTCTTCCGTGTCAACACGCGAATGTGCACAAGCACACGAGATGCCCATTAGACACCTTTCCGACGCCAGACACACGTTTTCATCACGTGCACATCGACCTTGTAGGTCCTCTGCTGCCTTCCAAAGGCTCCGTATATCTACTGATCTGCATCGAGCGATTTACTAGGTGGCCTGAGGCCAGCCCTATCCCAAATTGCTCCTCGGAAACAGTAGCGGAAGCTTCTATGGAGCGCTGGGTAGCTCAATACGGCTGTCCCGCCATCGTGACCACCGATCGATGGTCACATTTATCGTCACCCTTTGCTACGTTGTTTAGGGATTTAGGCTGTCGCCACGTTCAGACGACGGCGTATCATCCGGCCGCTAACGGCCTGGTAGAACGTTTTCACCGCCAGTTGAAGGCCGCGATACCAGCACACGCAGATCCTTCATGGTCTGAAACGCTTCCCCTCGTTCTCCTAGGTTTAAGAAACCCGGTTAAAACCGACTTCGACGCCACACCATCGCAGCTAGTCTACCGTTGTACGCTGCGGTTGCCCGGACAGCTTTTAGCACTAACCCCATGTACTTCCACATTTGACTACTGAAGTTACACTGATCGATTGGCTCACCAGATGCGTGAGCTACGTCCACCCGCTCCTCGATCGCAAAAGACACAAGTGTACGTGTTCGAGAAGCTGTCTACGCGTTCACACGTCCTTCGCGCAGACAGTGTTCGACAGCTTCTTTAGTCGACATCCATAGGACATTTCAAGGTGCTACATCGTGCAAATAAGGAGTACACTACTGACTACGGTGGGCAACCCGAAATAGTCACCATTGACCGTCTAATACCCACCTTTATGAAAGAAAACCACTTGCATGCTTCGTCTAGTAGTGCTTCGTGCGACGTCAAAACTCACCGCACCAGATTACAGCATCCTAGTTCAGTTCAACCAGACCACGATCGCAGTCTACAAGCTGTCCCAACATCTCCCGAATCTAGCCCGCCGCCTCCCACGACCAATCGCCGTGATCGAGAGGTGCGTAAGCCCGTTTGTTTCTCCGACTATGTACAGTGTAAATACTTTTAGATTTGTAGATATTGTATATACTTGCCACAATATTGGTCGATTAACGTTATTAACACAAAATAAAATATCAAAAACCGAAAAACCTTTTTCAAAAAAGTATTCAAAAACCAAAGTATTTTAACACGCAAATCATTCGTTTGTTCTTTTTGACGTTTTCTGCGCGTGTTTTTCTATTTTCTCGTCTCTACATGCCCCAACTCTCTCCTTCGATCGACTGACCCACACGAGGAATGTTTTCAAGGACCCTGGCGCGAACGCTGGTAGTTTCTCTGCGGGACGAATGTCGCTTCTTCGGCGGACGAGGATTGCTTCTCCGTGGGACCCTGATCGTTTCGTCGTGGGACTAAGGTCGTTTTGGCGCAGGGCGAGGTGCAGCGGTTGAAGAGACCACACCCAAGCGCGCCGTTTGGCAGCAGCGGAGGTTGAGGCCCTGTCGGCCTTTTTCTGGACTAGCCCGGTTTTGTAGCCCGACGAGCCCGCTCCAACGGCTCGCCGAAATGCACCCTGCCCTGCAATCAGTAAATAACAAACCACAAACGGCACAGTGGACTCCGACTGCCGGCGAACCCCCATTTGACACGAAAGCACGCTCATTTTTACTCGGCACGATTTTGCCTTACGCACCTCGTTTCAACAGTCCTTTTCTATTTCGAAGGATTTCTATGTTCAGCCTCCTAGGGGGAGCTCTGTATCATCCTGAAAGATAACTCGTATCTTTCATGTATAATTTAATTGTTGGCCGATTGTACATTACCCCTTCTTGTTTTAATCTTCATTATAACCGGCTCGTCACACAACAGCTTTGTACGTTCCCGCGCTCACGTGTACGCTCTCGCCTCGCTTCAGCCGTCCGCTTCTTATTGTAGCCCATCGAATAAAATCCGCTGTGTCCGACTCCCATTGCCTTCTGATATCGGTGCTTACATTCCCGCACCTTCTCGGACTAGTATTAACTACTCCTACAGACTACAGAATTCCTCCTTATGCGCACGCTTATAGCACTTTGACATCTATGACTTTGTAACGTACAAAGGGACGCAAAATTGCTTTGCTGCATGACCAACCTGCTGTAATTTGGTTGTGCGTAGACCACTTGAAGGGATTGCACGTATTGGCGGTTCTGGCCTATTTCATGATCATGAAGCATTTAACTCGGGAAATCGCTGACGAGGCTCTGTGTAACAGGAACTTAAAGCCACACGGAGGATATTGCAGTCTGGCACCAAAACATCTGCAACGGGATAATCCAGCTCTGCGAGCAGTGCAAAACCCACATCCACCTCCACAGCTGCGAATATTCTCTACCCTTTCGAAGCTTCCTTTACCTTTAAGCCTGCAGGGCGAACATCTAATTTGGTCTCCAGTTCCAACGAATTAATGGCTATTTGCATAACGCTTGCCGTTAGATATCAGGTTTATTGAAAAATGGCTCTTAGTTTTCTGTTTACCTGCACTCTAAAACTTGTATTACCTATTCCTTTGAATAGATACTGAGGAAACGTAACATAAGGTCCTGCACCAAGAGAAAACACCGTAGTTCTTACTGGTAGCAATAAAATATGCTTGACGTTGATATGCAGTTGATATGCATAGTACAAATTCGAGTCCACTTTGTTATAATCAACAGAATACAGCGTAGTCATGTGTGCTTATTAGCGCACTTTACGAAAAGAATGCCAGGTTATTCTTCATACTACACCGTAAGACCATGTCAAAACAAGTACTTACAGCGATATTTTGACAAAGAAAGGGACGAAGTTAATAAAAAAGCTGTGAGTTTCTATTTCCTGTCATCCATTACATTACAAAAGTCTGTGTGCGCCACGAATATCAGTTGTCAAACTTTGTGCCGATATACACTAGGGCGGTTTTGCTGTACAGTGGGCAATAACTACTTTGCTATGCTGCTCTAATATAAATGCTCAGAAATATATCTGCTCGGGTAATTGTTGATGTGTTATTAATGGCCGTCGATTTTGTGTCCGTGGACGTCCCAATGAGACATATTTGAAGCGAATTTTAACAACAGACGGAAATTTTTTCCTATGTTGGTTTTACGTAATCCTTGAATTTATTTGGTTGTTAGCAAATCACGTTTAGTGGGATTGTAATCCGAAATCGTCTTAACCCTGGTTGCACACGTCTATTTTCTGTCCTGATTAGCACACTATAGTAATATAACATAATGTGTCAGCTGCACGCCGTAACGGTGCTTTGCTGCCGCGCGACCACCACCAGTCGCGCGCGGGCTGGGTGTACCTCGAGGACGCCCACCCCTACGCGGATTTGAACCGGTGCCCTTATGGTTGCAAAGCAAACGTGCAGACCACTCGGCCACCGGCGGCTTAGCACACTAAAACGTATCGGATTAACTGAACAGGAACGTGGCTCGTAAGACGGCGTAAACTTGGGTCTGTCAACTTTATTTTTCTGAGCGTATGCCACCGTTCTTCGGGCCATTCTGTACGCGTTCTATACCTGGCTACCTTAACTCTGCCCCCACAATAGTTCTCCAGCTAATTTTGCGATCTGCCACATAGCTGCTCCTCTGCAATAGCTTAAAAATAGGAGGCTAAACAGAACAGAAGCGTGCTCCGTGAGGCGGCCTAAACTTGCTTTTGCCCAGTTTATGTGGCACGAATCAAAATTCTCCTTCGGTGGTTAATCAGAATACTGAATAAGTGTCTGCGAATACCACATCACGGCATGCCCTGGAAATTTCGTCTTACATTTTTCTTTCGGCGGTAAATATGCTTCTAACGCTTTTACACATAAACGGTGTATTAAAGGTGTCGCATGTCTAGATGTGATACATATAACTAACAATGGATGAAAGGCCGTCAGAATGTGCTGTACTGGACCTGTACATAAAACCTAGCCACGAGCAAAATAAATTTGGCTTATCATTTAGTTTAACGACCTAAATTATTGAAATAATTGATCAGTTACAATGCGTCCTTCATACACACTAACTATGTATTTATCAGAAATAAGAAAATTATTACCATCTAGTAAGAATAACGTTTTATGTGCAAACGGGACGGTCGTCCTATTACCGTCCAGTTTGCTACGATTGCTGTTACGATTGTGCCATCATGGAACGCAGTATTATATGCAGAGGCGTCGGTGAATGTTTTCGGACGTTCAGGCTGGCGTTCCAAGGACCATACATTAGTTGATATGAAGAAGAGCAGGCCTCAGTGGCGTTTGTGTCGTGTTTCTTTGTCCATCTCTTGCCCGCTTATCTTTACCCTCTAGCAACGACCTCGCACTGCACGGAAAATATTACACCCAGCATTACCTTAGTTGCTTTTTAATTTTTATATTCCGTAGCTTTTAGTATCTTGTTCTTTATATATCTTATCTACTGTATTACGATAGTTGAATTAAATGTGTCCTTCACCTTTAGCTCATGTGTAATGATGATGTTAATGATTAAACTGTAAGACCACACTAAAAATTGTTAAAATAACAAAGATCTATCCTAACTGCATTTCGCTTGAACGGCCATGTGCACATAGAACGTTTAACAACCGACAGCCTATCGTTCACACACGCTGGCAGAAAGTACTATTTACTTGAATGGCAACGACCTTTAGGGAAGAATCTTGGGCCACTGGGCAAAGATGTATGCGTTACCCTTATAGCGTAGAGGTCACTGACTTGAGTCTGAGTACGCTCGGGGTATACCCAAATCACTATTCCCCGACGGCAAACGCGTGGCAGCAAAGCCTTGGCAAGGTATGCCTGCGTACTGCTGATGCGCTTTTTATAGGTAAGGGCCGGTGGTGTTGAAGGCGTATTATGCTATTTAGCGTCAGTTTGATTACATAACGCTATGTTGCCTCCTATTATTTTTTCCTTGCTTGCCACTGCTCAAACGTACACTCGAACAAAACGGCTGGTCGTCCGTCTGAGCCTTCATGATAGTTTCCGGCTAACGTGTGATATGTTTCTTGTACCGGCAAGCCAACTTAGGTTCCAGGAACTTCGGCGTTAAAACTACTCTTCTAAACTTTCACGGATACTGTAAGAAAGCACAAATGCAATTTTCGTATTTTTTAGCATAATAACTTATGCTATTTTAGTGATAGTTTTTATAAATGTGTAGTAATTCTAAAAAGCAACCAGGTAAACAAATTTATGCATTTTAATAGGCAGCTACAGCAGTACATTAAGTACAGTCGAACAAAGCTTGTTCCGACTACTGCCTACACGATTGGCAAAGTATTTGATCTTAGCATCCAGCTTGCGCCTCTAAATAAAAAACATAATATATTTCTAATCGTACGCAAGCCACAATAGTGAAAACGTAACTTTAAATGCATGCCCTTCAAGCGGCCGGATATATAGAGTTCAAACGTATCAGAAGGCTTGATACCACTGAGGTTCATTATAATCCTGGGCACATCTATTATGTCATTACTCAAGCTGCGCTGTTCCAACGATCAAGTTCCTAAGCTAAGTTTCACCCGAGATTTTTAATGATGACCCTCACACATTGTAGGCGACAGTCGTCAAACTTGTTTCCATAACATAATGCATTTTTGACATATATTTGAGGTAATACAGTGGAGTTAAATGTAAAGGCTAGAATAGCACGCAGTTTCTCTATGGTGATACTGAACGAGTGTTCACTTTCTTAGCGGGCATACTCAACTGACTACGTTCTTATGTGCTCAATAACAGAGTTATCAAAGAAGCGTTCAGGTGTTTAATACGGTGTTACCTGCTCCTTTAATAAATTAGGCGCGCATTTACACCATTGTCTCTGAAGCTGTAACCTTAAACATAATTTCCCACCATAGTCTAAGTCTGGTATCTCTTTGTGTCTACATAAAAGAATTAAGCCTAGGTGCAGCCATTTTACTCCTGTAAATCTTTACCGTTGCTAACTAATACTTCTTTGGATGGTTCGCCTTCCTTATTGAATGCAACTACTAAGCTATGAATAACACTAAGCTAGCTTCAGTACCACTAAGCAACTGCCCCCCTGACAAATCATCAAGTTATCCAACCTCCTTAATCACTTCAATTATATCGCTATCAGAATTTTCGCTATCGTTTGGAAGTGTAATATAAAGGCTTCTTTCTAAGACATTGTCAGCTTCTTCTATTATAGTGCCAGAATTTTATGCAATCTATATTTTAAGATCCCATTGAAAGAAGCAGATTTACCTAATATAACTATATTTAACATAACATTTTAATAAGAACAGTGACGTTAGAACGTAAGAAGCATGTTAGCACAATCCAAAGGGTTCCACACTGTAACAGCGTAAACGTAATATATCGGAATAGTTATAAAATACAGGCGTATTTTTATTCAGGTTATTAATAATTAAGTTATCTTAAGAGGCCTGTCACAGCATCATATGTTGCTGGCGTCCATTAAAATGGACAGATGGTTGCAGCTCCTGGTTGCAATAACTACCACACACATAAAAAATGTATGGGATAGTGTACCCTGTATATAGTAATTAACAGAACTATGGTAAAAATTTGATATTTATCATATGGAAAATTATTTGAAGTGAACGCACCCGCTTTGAATTTTTCCCTTTATCCGCCGTTGGTAGCCATTTAAGTGAAGCAAACCATTAAAAAATAAACGGAATGTCCAAATTGATCTTTAAATAATCTGAAATAACAAGTTCTTAAATATTTCAAACAAAAAATGTAAATAATAACGTTATACTATGTCCCAAACCATGTTTTTAGAAATATCCTTAAACATGTGGCTAGTGGAAAATGGGTTAATTACGCTCTGTTCTCTTAGCTTTGGGTAGTTAGTGAATCTGCTATTCGCTTCAGACACAACAGTGATAGTGCTAATCCAAGCTAGTTCTGCCTTGAAGGTAGGCGACATAGCATCCGTAATAGAATTGCTTTACACAGACAGATGTTAATGTGTTCTCTTTGATGGTGTTTGGTTCGCGAAGTTACATGGTCAGTTTGGCTACTAGCCTACTCGCTGTCAACTAAGTTGCTGGTGCCGCTGTGGGGGCGCTGACATTCTGACGGCTGTTGACTGACCTGTCCTTTATCCAGTTGACTCGCAGGCAGGTGAATCATTTTCCACTTGGGTACACTCATAATGCAACTGCCTTTCGTGGCATTACTTATCGCCTCTAGTTCAAACTACCACTACATGCCTTATGTGACAGATTTTAAGTTGCAATCAAATTAGAAATCTAATAATTCGAAATTAAGGAGTAAAACCGATCTGTCTTCTGTTTGCGCCATGCCAGCTCAGTCAGCTTGTTGTATTTACGTTTAAACATGGATTCATGACATTTGGTGATGTATATGGTCATACTTCCATTAGTTAAAGAAAGCAGATTGCACCATGCGCCAACCACTGCTGCCTTTCATGCAATTTCTTAGTCAACAGTAAAAATTCGTTCTGCAGATTTTTATCTGTTTCCTGTTATGTGCTGATCTATGTCTACCTGTGGCACACTACTAGTGAGTAGTATGTGTGAAAACTATGAGGCACAAGGAACTAAGGGAAATCATGGATTGCCGCGGACGAAGGATGCTTGATACACTAATCATCCGAATCATGGATACACAGTGAAGAAATCTACCCCCACCGATATGTTGTGAGTTATGAGACGCAGCAGAATGGCAAGTTTGAAAGGTACCACAAGTGCACGACTTGGGCCTGAGTTTCCATGTTGGTACTCCAACAAATGATTCTCCTGTACCCCGTCGTCTCCTCAACATTTGGTGCCCTGACTAGCGAAGTGTAGAAAGTAAAGATTCGTGG